GCTTTTACCCTGCATATATTTGCGTTGCAGGTAACTAGAGGATTGTTTTATAACTAAGAACGGTTGAAAGGCAAGGGGCTTGAGGGAATATATTGGTAATTATTTTATCGCCCAATTCATTAATTAGTACGAGAGATAAATCAGGATATAGTTATCGATAGTTACTGATATCATATTAATTTAGAAAGGTATGATGAACCGGGAGATAATAGTCTTTGAAAACATCAATAACTGAATGAGTTATATAAAACGCATCTTTAGACTTCCTGGAAAATGTAATCTACCTAATCGATCTGTACATTTCTATAACAAGTTTTGTTTGCGAATTATTATGTCAGGATAAGGAAGATTATTCTTCAACCATTTTATATAATGTATTCTTTCGTTAGGTTATTTTGTTTTTTTACAAAAGTAAAGTTAATTCTTTTTTTTTAATATTACAGAGAATTCGTCCCCACTTAACCTGTTTTAGGCATTTTGTCATATTATATTTCTTAGATTGGTTTATTGTTATCTTTAGATTGTCTGGAAATATGTATACATCATTTTGTATACTAACGGCAATGTGCTGTCAGTTCACAAAGTTATACTGTTGGATTAATTAACGCATGCGAGTCGCAGACTTTATTTGAATGATCGCTGACGTTGCAGACGAAACAATAAGATGCGAAGGTGTGTCTTCCTAATAATATGTATGTGTAAAGACAATTAATGTACAGCATGGGCAGATACGGAACCTTTTATTGGATTTAAAGAATTTGTACGCTGCTCTTTTGTGTTTTGGATCTGTAAAAAAGAAAAAAAAATCGGCAGCAACATTTACCGGGTTTTTTTTAACAAACAATTTCTGTTAGGTCACAGCAGCATATGTTTCTGTTGAAAAAACGGTAAATTTACAGCAAAATATTCTGGCTATTCTGTTGCCAGAATATTTTCTGTTCTTTAACATAATTATTTTCGTTAAATATAAAACAATCATTATCAGTAATAAAAAATATATTTATTTTCTGTGAATGTAATGTTTCAGTAGTGAATTTACAAAAGTATTAAAATGGACAGAAATTAAGAGCAAGACATGTCACATGACATTGTGTCATGGATTCAGAGTTCGTGATTTACTACTATCTCTCGTATCTTCTACTTATTGCAATTTTTATCTTCAATACAAACCTGAAATAAAATGATTAAGCACATACAGAAACATGCAATTAAAAGGTTGTAAATTTCCTGCTATGCGATAGAGTATCCTTGGTAAATTTTCTACTATGCCATAGAGTATCCTATCAACGAAATATTGCCAAGGCAGTGGACATACAATGTCAACAGCACCCAAACTGAACGAATTCCACCCCGCACCATTGACAAGGAAGGACAAGCTGTAGCTTTCTTGGCCAATGGTTAATGAGCTAGCATCATATATCACTGAAACCATGGTGTCTCTGACACATATTGTTTACTTGGCCGAATTCAAATATGTCTACGATGAAAACATACATTTCCATGGATTCCATAGTATATTGTTCGCAGGAGTGCAGGCTGTTTCGTACTTAGTTCATTCGTACCTCAAATTGATTCGTACCTTTTCCTATGTTGTTGAAAGAAATTGAATATGCCGAACCAGAATTAGAATATGCCCGAGATTTGTACCTCAAATTGATCTGCCCATGCTAAACATTAATTGTCTTTACACATACATATTTTAGGAAGACTCACCTTCACATCTTATTGTTTTATACACCCACATTTTTATGTGAACGTATATTGTCGTCGCCCCTGTCCGTCCACAATTTGTTTGTGGACACTCTGCAGGTCACAATGTTTATCTGATTTTGATGAAATTTAAAACTTGTGTTTATATCCCAAAGATCTTAGTTCCTTTCAATATCCGACTATAAATATCGTTTAAATAATATATCATTGTTACACCCTGATGATGTTTGAGTTCGAATTTGGTAAAAATCGGACCAAAACTGTCCGACAAAGTGGCCGTTCCTTGAACGCAAATTGTGTAAAAGTATGTAATACCAAGGTTGAAGACCCGCTAGAGGTCACAGCATAAAATATATGTTTATATCCCAAACTGTCCGACAAAGTGGCCGTTCCTTGAACGCAAATTGTGTAAAAGTATGTAATACCAAGCTTGAAGACCCGCTAGAGGCCACAACATAAAATATATGTTTATATCCTAAAGATCCCGCACCTTTGGATATTCGAACCAGACTATAATATCCTGGATTACGGACTCTGATTGTACGAAAAATAACATTTTTAGCCTGTGGATGTCACAATTTTTATTCGAATTAGAAAACGTTTAAATATATCACCGTTCCACCATAATGAAGGATGAGTTCGGATTTCGAGAAAATCGAAACGAAACTGCCCGACAAAATGTACGCAAGTTGTGCAAAAGTATGTTATACGAAGGTAAACTGTCAATGATCTAAACGCATCTTTAAAATTCATTTGAACAAGATATGATATATAGATCAAGACGGGGGAGAGAAAGAAACGGTCGATATATCTACTAAAGAACAATTATGTTTTCTGGAATTTAACAAATTAGATTAAATTTCCTTATAAATATATATTTTTTTAAAAAAAAAAACCTTTCCATTTCTCCCCCCAACACTGATAATATTCAACCAACGAGGTATGTGATGCCTGCGTCGGCCGAGAAAGTTCATCCATATTTTCCGGCGTGGTTCTCCCTTGTCAGTGATGCAGGACGGGGGACCTGACAAGGACAGCTGTCAAGTTGTTCGGATGGGACGAAAAACCGAGGCCCCGTGTAGACATTGGCGTGCATGTAAAAGATCCCTTGATAGTTGGAATTCGATATAAGAGTAGGCCGTAGTGCCGCTGTCCGAGCAAAATTTCCCTCATAGCACACTGTATGGCGTATGCCCGTCTTCATTAGCCCAGTTCTGAGCAAAACAGTAGGACGTTAAACCCCATTTCATTTCATTTCCAGTACCAAGGGGTCTGTCTAATATATGAACAAAATCATGCTCAAGGTTGTCAGCCCTAATGAATTTTCAAATCAATAGAATGGCAAATTACCCGTCGGAGTTCTTTCTGTTATGCCATATTCGTCGGTTTTATGCCATGATATATTTAGATAAATGTAAAAAGCCCAGTAATATAACATACATTATCTAGATTAAATCTCGTGAATAACAGTAATATAAATGAAAACACACATCTTTTGTCTGGAAACAAGTAAAGGCGGAAGTATTCAAATACTAAATTAAGATTGGTCTTTTAGCTCATTTTCTCTCGTACTTGCTGCGCATATGGACCACAGTTTGTGTTAGGGATCATAGATTAAGCTTTAATTACACCAAGGTGATTAATACTACATGTACGTAAAATGATTTGCTACACAATTGTTTTTATAACTCCAACGAAATTGGCAACGACTAATAGATCTGACACATTACGTCGTTTGTCATGTACGCCATTAATTAGTAACTGTTATACTTAAAACAAATAAATTGGATTAAGATACCTACGTCGGCCAGCAACTTATTGAGACCAGATCATAACTAAAGCCTTAAAGATTTCGCAAGAACTGCGAATAACACTAAAATTTGTTGAACATCAACAGGCTTCTTCCTTATAACAAGATAGACAGCTAAATTAAATTTTATACAGATCGGATAGGGCCCTTAAATAACTCATTATGTTCCAAATGGGTCGATATGTGTAATAAAGATAATACGATTGACAGCCAATATACAATGACTAACAGACTTTCCTAACTAAGGAACAAAACCTCTGGAGGCGGTTATCAAAAACATTTGAAATCCAAAAACCTTCTTCATTTCACGAACGCAGACAACACAATCAATATTAACAAGCCAACAATGAGCCTGATGCCTCACACCCAAACCCCCAAATATATAGACAACACATATTAATTAAATACACATTGATCATTAAATATAGTCCATATTATGCTACACTGAGTTTCATCACGCCCATCCAATTAGAATCAAAATTATCGTGTTCCGAAGTCACAACCAATAAAATTGTTTATCTCTGCTTAGCCTTAGTAAAAATTGCTCATCATCCCACCCTGTCAAGGCATTCACCTTTTAAACACCTACACAAATGCTGATCATTGAATTTAGTCAAGGTATTGACACAACACAACACACCAATTTTCAACATTCGCACTCAATTAGAATCAAAGTTACCTTGCTCAGAAGTCTCGGCCAATCACTTTGCTTATCAGGAAATGCTCATTATCGAATTCAATCTCTCCATTACCGTGTCCCAAAGCACTGCAAATCAAATTGCAGATAACAAAGCCGAAATGCTCATCTTCGAACTACACCAAGGCATTCAGCTAATAAATACCTCAATTTGTTTCTCGAGAAGTGTGACGGCCAGACCGACGAACAGACAGACAACCACATCCATTCAAATATTCCCCTGTTTTCTACGAAAGTCGGGGGCAAAATCGTGTGGGTTATTATAGACTCTAATATACCAGCAAGTAATTGGAACCATAGACGGGCGGGCGGACAATGATGATGGCAAGGCAATATACAACCACATTGAAATGTGGGTGTATAAAAAGGTTAGAATACACCTGATATTCGTAGTCGTTTGTCAATGAATCAAGCAGTGTAACTATTTCCACAAGTCATGCGTTCCTTGGCAAACCCTAATTAAATTGTCATAGTTTAGTGCGAACGCTTCGGATTTAAATGAGAATGCAAAACTAATTCCAAATATCGCCCTTGTTCCATTATCGCGTATTCATGCGCCGTAACGAATAAAAACGGAGTTATTGGTTTACGACACAACTAGGCGGTTGTTTAATAATAAACTAAATAAAACCACCAGCATTAAGGTATTGATTCGGACCGAGAACATAATATTATCAATTATATAAACTGCAGGCTATATAATATCACTGCAAATGGATAAATACTTGCTTACAACCAATATAGCCGCTTTGAATGTTTTAATCGCTTTAACACCCAAGAGACGTCTGTAATTTATGTCTCTCACGTGGGCGCTGCCACGAAAGACATGCGCGAGTGACGAGGACGTCGTCTCATCTCATCATCATATATAGATAAACCAAGTCTCTTCAATTCTCGTGAACACCGTTACTCGCGCTGCCCAGCATCTCCCTATTCAATTCTAGTAAAGGAATTCCAGAACCAAAAACGAAGAAACAAGCAGCGTGTAGTAGTTGGACTGTGAAATTAAGACTCGGAAAACGGAGTGTGGAAAGAAAGCAGTGATATTTATTTATTTATTTTTCTTTTTTTTCAAAAATACGGGACTTGCAGAATTTGAGAGGTAAGGAAACGTATTAAAAGTAGAGCAACGCACAACTTTTTTTTAAGTCCTTCAAACGTTTGCTAAAAGTTTATTAACGTTTTCTTTAAACACTGACATATTTCGTTTTATCTAATATCATGAAATAAATAATACGATGCTCTTCTTTCTAGCTATATAATATCTAGAAAAAATTTTGTGCACTTTTCATTCCTTCCTTTTGTGTAGCACTAAATTACAGTATCATTGATTTTGTATTGTCATTTCATATTTTTTAACCGACAAACGGTTAATAATAGATGTTTGTAATTAAATTAACATTCGTAGACACCAAATACGTCAATTAAGGCCACACTTTTTCTGTACTTTGAACTTCGGCCTTTCGGTTGCTGACTTCCAGTTTTACAAACCGAGGAAACTCGATTTCTTTGAAAATAACGTATTTCTATAAGGAGGACCATAACTAAGATATCTGATATGCACATAATTAACCCAGGGGATTTTGAATGTCCAATTCATTAATTCTCAAGGTAACTAAATACAAAGCATAATAATACATTGATACAATTATTAATTCTCAAGGTAACTAAATACAAAGTATATAATACATTGATACAATTAGACATTGTAAATTATTTTAAATGAAATTAAATAGTTCAATCAACTGGCTAGTAATCCAATTTTAAGAATTTTGAAATGCGATATTGTTTTCCGAAGGTATTGCCTTCAAATAATCCGTGTACATTTTGTGTAGATTTTGATAATGTATTCTGTTCATGACGATAGTACAACACAAGGAATATAAATTTATTTCTGAAACTACGTTCCTTAAATCCGACAATTGCACGTCTTCAATGAGCATGATGCCTTCTTTTGAAATCCGGGTTTTATTGCTAACTTACTTTTGTATAATAGCTGATTGGAGACTAACTGTGAATTAGATTTTGAGAGTTACAGATTTAGAGCTCAGATTTATCTGAAACTATATTTGTAATGTCCATGAAAAATTAAATTGTCTAATATTGCCACAATATTATTCCCAAGATATATTAAATAGGTTTACTATTGCACAGTCATACGTTGCCCTGTAATGCCAGCGCACGTTCATTTATCGTCTTCAAAGTGTACTGTATAATGGTCGATATCGTGTGGAAGCGGGCGTTAAATAATGTTATTTACATGCGGTCTTTGAAGTATTTCGAAAGATATTACAAATATAAAATGAAATGGGGTTTAACGTCCTACATGTTTGCACCACCAAGGCTAATACACTGTGCTATGATAGAAATTTGACTCTTCGTTGAATTCTAACCGCCAAAGTCTTTTTTACGCATATGTTAACGAGTACTCTAGTGGACTTCGTTCTTTTTGTCCTATCCGGACGCCTAGACACATTTTCTTTCTCAGATTCTCCGCCTTGCACCACTGACAAGAAGGAAACCAGACTAGAACTATCTTGGCTAATACCGGGATTGCATCCGGAACTCCTGGTTAGTGAGGAAGCGTCCTACCGAGTCATCTGGGCTCGAAATATAAACTTTCCTTGTAGTTCGGATATGTTTTCCAAATTAATTATTGCGTATTTAGGATTGCGACATTCGACAAAACATCTGTTATTGAATTTAGTATATTATTTTAGAACCATTGAATAGGACTGTTTTAAAGACGAATTAAACATAAATCACAACATACCATTACCGGAAATAAAACAGTAAATGTATATCCAAGACGTTTGATTTAAAAACCTTAACAATATAATAATACAGTTTATACTCGAGAACTATCGATTTTTTAATATGATGGGTTTTAGTTTTCCAAAATGAGAAATTCAGAGCAATATAAGTTCATTTGTGTAATGCAATCCCATGCTATACAATTGCGTAGAGGTTTTTTTCTGAATACGAGGGCACCCAGGACACTATTCCGTATCCGTTGTAGTAATACCACTATATTCACCATCAAGATGTTATAATTACCGTTAAATCCAGCTCAGTGGTAATATAGACCAATAACCTCGATCCCAAGGGAATGGGGGTTGTGTTTTATTTCTAAATCAGCAACTGATACGCTTTTAAAGGTACGATGCAAAGCAACACGTACATGAAATTTTAGCATTACATAAGGAATGGCGACCCCTGAAAGAACACCTTTCTGAATTATTGTGGTGAACTAAAAGCCTTAACTAAAATATTCACGCACCTAGTTTCCAATTGATGATATCGGAAAATACAAAACAAAGTGTTCGAAACACCAAATTTGAAAAAGCAATTCATGTGACCCGAACGATTTCCTAGCACAAAGTTATGTTACAGATAGCTGTGTGTACTTTCTGTATATCTTCAGGTCATATTTAAAGAAACCTGGTTTTGACGGAAACAATTGGGTGTTTCTGTGGGTAGACCGACGTGTCATGCAAAGAGGTTAAATAGGTTCGAATTTTAAAAACTTCTGTGGCCAAAATTCGTGTCCATGTGCATTTGCAAAGATGTTAAATTAACGCACGAGTCTCTAAATAAAGTTAGTAATAACACAACATGGGATACAAAATAATTAAATTATATTTTATACACATGTATTTAGAATTTGGTCCAGTTTAAAAACTACTTGTTGATGTTTCACAAGCCACATTCTGGTTTTATTCACCATCACGTTTCTCAGCAGCTATTGGCGGGATTAAACGGTGTACATAACCTAGCAGCCTAAAAAAGAATAATAACCCTTTACACAGTTATGTTACGACCCACACATAATTCAATCCAAGGGTTGTATTTCTCAGATTGAAAAACTTTAGGATCTATTGTTGTTGATTTTCTTTAAAGCAATTCTCATGTGCGATGATACACGCTTCCCGCGCTGTATGCGAAGTCATTTCTACCATATGTAAAAAAAAACCAACAACAAAAAACATTTTGTCATAATTATGAAGAATCGCTGCAATTGGTCGATATATTAACTTGATATTTTTGTGTAGCCAGGTTCTATTTTGGCTTGTTATGCTATCTCCCATGTTCGAGTCGAAACATTAAATGTACAGCCATGGATGGCAAAGATGAGACTGTTATCATTACTATATTTGTATAAGAAATAAACATGTGGGAGTAAAATCAATGTAGACTTAAAATAACAATAACATAATTGATCGATTTGGAAAATTTTTGGACCAAAAGTACGGTTGATTGTGGGTCGTCTTAAACCTTAATTCTGGCAAGTTGGGTCTTAAAATAAGGACATAAATAGATCTAGGTTACTGGCGTGTTAAAGGGCGTAAAGCATTACCTCAATAGTATCCACAGTCGTCGACATTACAAACAGGGATTATTGGTCCATTTCAATCAATAGTGATGTTAAATTACAGTGAAATACGGACTCCTGATAGACAATAATTAAAACACAATGAACAATTATATAATCAGTCGGCGACGTCTTGTACTCTATGCTCTTGAGCGCCATTTGTAACCAGGCCACACCTCAGTACATCACTGAAATGTCAAACAGTACTCCATTGTAGATTGGACTAACCAGACGCGAGGGACTGCCATTCAATTTGGACTGCTCATGTATTTTGACGAATAGAGCTGATTAGAAATTACGCCAAAAAAAAAATTACGCCAAAAAATATAAAGTCAATGTAAATCAGTTTACATACTACAATAATATGTCTTGAGCTTTTTGATCCATTTTCGGTTCCAAAGAATAAAGATTTAGCTGCTTTAATGCAATGATTGTGAACATATAGAAATGGTTTTCAAGGTGAGATAATGATTATAGGGTTATCTGGAATACTTGATTGAGTTAGGTCGAGGCTTTTTCTTCGGTTGATTTAGTTAGAAATATAAAAGCCTGCAAATAAATAAATATTACGATTTCCATATAAAAATTATAGCACGCGAAAGTCCCATTTTTATGCATAGTTTGAATAAAATACCAAAAGAAAATAAGATGACGTGTTTTAATGAATGAATAGATGGCTTTCTCCTGTCAATATTTTTAGATGAAATTTCTACAAAAGGAATACGTGGGTGTATTTTTATCTTTGTAAAAATAGAAGCAGTTTTTTTTTTGGTAAATATTAATAATAAGAGATGTGGTTGTATAGGAGGGTGAGAATACTAATGCTAATCCTCAAGATAACAACAAACATATTTTTATAAAACATATCTAAAAAATCTCCCTTTGATTCCGAATGGGGACAGGTAAGGTTTTCTTTTGTTAAAAGGGGTAGTCATATTATGTATGATATGTTGTGAAAACATGCATTAGTTTTTGTAGCTGCACAACAAATAGATGTATTAGTCGAGTACATATATCAAGCCATATTCAGCTTAAAAATTTAACCACAGATAGCTTCCTGAAAGGAGCTAAATCGCTAGAAAATGACACAAATGGGTCGCAACGCATATAATAATGTTATATGAATGTATATAAACTGATTTACGATCAATAATTTCCGTTTTTACTCTTAATTTCAAATCAGAAGCCTCAATCGAATAGCAATCTCTAGCGTCTGGTTATTCCAGTCTACACCGATAGTATTTATTGCGCATGCTCTCCAGATAAGAATATGACGTCACCGTTTGATATGACTCTTGGAATATGTCTAGCCTCGTCCTTCGAGTCCCTTGTTACAAATGGCGCTGAAACGCATTATGATACACTATTCGTGTACCAATGTTAAAGTGTTTATTTTGTCTTAAATATTGGATATCAGAAGCCCATCTTTTCCCGGTAAGATCACAACATCAATGTTGATTTAAACTGACACATAATTCGTGTTTTCAATGTCGATGAGTTAGGGACTTAGCTATTTTAATTTATTTACTCCATATCTGAGTTGATAAGAGAGAATCATCAGTCAATGGTTCCATAAATACATTTCGAACTTTTACGATTAAAGCAATTAGAAAGCCATATTTCTACCAATTTACTGACACGGCACGGCTACTAATTCACTACTTTAAATATTTAAGAGGCGATATCTATTGTTATGAAGTTGGTGCCAAAAGGAAACATGCAAGATAAAC